GCAAGACATTTTCTTTCTTTCTTTCTTTCTTTTAACAAGGCTTACAAAGATTTAAATACATGGTTACAATTTCGACTATGATGTTCTTTGTCTTAACCTCTTTCATCATTCAGTTTTGCCCTCCATGGCCGATTGCAATGTGAATCTTATGAGTTAATTAAAATTACTTCTTCACAAAAGTATAAGAAGTAACTGATTCTTTTTCATTTTTAACTGGAATGATGAATTTTCCAATATTACAATTCTTACAATGTCATAGTTTGATAGTCATTGATAAATTACTCGTGAATTGCCAGAAGTCTTCCTTTTACTCACATTAAGTTTTGCAAAAAATGAACTATTATTTTCTTTTGTAAATAATTAATGATTTTTTAAAAATCTGAGCATCTTGAAATTATGTGTAAAACGTGACTGTATATATTTTAAATCTCCATCCATTGTGTTTGCAAATAGAATAAAATTTATGAACATTTCAAAACAATCATATGCACTGGCAGATGCTAATGAAAGCAACATCAAATTGACATTCAACACAGTAAACAATCAAAACTATCAGTCTCAAAATATTTGTGAGCATATTGAAAAATGCAGATGTTTCCATCTAAAGTAAACGACCAACTTATTTTTGTCTGGCTGTTGCCAACAAATAAAAATAAATTAGGGTGCTCACAACAGATATCATCTGAGCAAATATCGAGCTACTTGCATGATAAGTAAATGATGTGGGGAAAGCATACTCATGCATGATGCAAATCTCAAACTGAACAACACATTGGAAATTATTACACTTATCTTTCATTGTTTGAAATTATTAATAACAACCAATTTATGTGATAAATTCTCTTAAATTACTCACTTTAATGGATTTTTAATAGTTAATTAATCACACTGACCACAATATGCATGTTTCAAGAAAAGATTATTGCTGTCATACAAATGAGGTTTTTTAAATTATACAGAAAATGAAAATATTTAAATTGCAATATAAGCTTTCGTATATTAATGAAATATAAATAAAATAATATAAGCAGGAAATATGTTCAAAATTAGTTTCTTCCATTTTTTCTGGCCGTTTATTTTCACTGTGGAAAAAGTATGCAAGTCTTGGATATTATTAACCCTTAAGTCAGCACAATTTTCTACATCAGAGGGGGCTTGAGAAAAATTTCTTCCAGGCACACATATCATCTACAGAAGGGTTGTTTTAACAGTACCAAATATAAATTATGTATTTATTGTGCACATATAATCTGTTATTAACTCTCTGAGCATTATGACCGGCTTTATCTGGTCATCAGAAGTTTTGCTACTTGGCATATATTAGCTTATAATTAAAGATATTTCCTTTCTTACTTTCTTTAATAATGTAAATGTCATCTTAATGAATGTAAGTTTATGAAAATACAGACTAAAATAAGTAATTATACAAACTCAATTAATAAATGCTGTTTAAATACAGGTCTTCATGACGGATCTAAAATCCTGTGCCGCTCAGAGGGTTAACATTAACTGTATTATTGCATTCAAATGAGAGTTTTTTGTTACCATCTTATGAAATTGAATCTTTTCTATTTGTGTAATATGAAACATTACAATAATTGATATTTACTAAGATTGTTTCAGTTCATTGAGTTTCTTTTTCCTTCCCATTTGGTAGTGTATTTCTCTTTTGAGAATGCAGGTATAAAACATCTTCCTTTTTTAATAATTATTAAATTATCTGACTGTCAAGTTGCTTATATTCTACTTATTTTAGGAATACACCTATCCCTCGATTTTGCATGGTACTCATTTTACATGATTTAAAAATTAACAGCTTTCAAAAACTTGGTAAAAATGCATATTCAGCTGTATATAAATGCATATTCAGCTGCATAAAAATGCATATTCAGCTGCATATACACAAATACATATATTTGAAGTCATTTTTGAATCTCATTCCTTTGGTAACACTGGTGGCAACAACAAGGATGGGGATTCCCCATGTTGTAAACGGGGAATCCTCCTAGTGTGTATATGTATTTCACAACAGTAAAGCTGTTTGGTTCATGTGAACTAATGCAGTATCAGTATTTTAGCTGCAAAGCTTGCATCATTTTTATCTACATATTTGAATGTTTAGTGGTAAGTTTTTAACATTTATATTTTTGGGGGCATTTTTATAATTTATGTCATTTTTTAAGGTTTTATACTTCCAAAAGTTTTGAAAAAAAACGTTAAAAAAAAGAAAAGTTATTTCTTTAAAAATAAAAATATATGTAAGAGATGATACAATGGAAAATATGAGAACATTAGTGATATGGATAGAAGACCAAAATAAGAAACGTATTCCAATTGATACTAGTCAGTCACCATTGGTGGTCAGATAAAAGTATCTTTTCCCTCAATTCATGGTTGGTTTGAGAGATTTATACAAAGACTCTCTTTACATAATCTAAAATTGAAAGGAGAAAAAGCATCTGCTGATTCAGATGCAACACAACAATATCCAGTAAAATTTGCTGAAATTATTGCTGCCAACTCCTGTACTTCTGATCAGATCTTCAATGCCGATGAGTCCGGGTTGTTCCAGAGAAAAGATGCCTGGAAGAGCCTATATAAGCTAAAGCTTGAAAATCAGCTAGTGGGCATAAGGTAGCGAAAAGTTGTATAATAATTCTTTTCTGTTGTAACGCTTCAGGTGATTATATAATGAAACAATTGGTTATTAACAAATCAAAAACACCACACTCATTTAAAGGAATAACCATAAATGACCTTCTCGTTTATTGGATGGCTAATGAGATAGCATGGGCCTCTGCCATAGCTTTCAAAAAATTATTTTAAATAAAAATTGATTGCCTTTTAAGGCTCATCTATTAATTGATAATGCACCTGGTCATCCTCAAGATTTACAACATGGAAATGTAGAAGTTGTCTTTTTAACAATAAATACAACTTCCTTATTACAGCCGTTAGATCAAGGAATAATTTTGACTTTAAGGCATTATATATCAAACAAATCTTCTGGTATATTTTAGAACGAATGAAGAATGGTGAATCTCTTACTCTTATAGATGCTTGGAAGAAATTTACAATCTTAGATGGTGTTAAGCATGCTGGACTGTCATATATTCAGATTAAACAATCAACACTCAATGCGTGTTGGAAAGCAGATGCTGCTAATGATGAGAATGATAGATTACCATTAGAGCATGAATATTCTCAGATCACTAAATTAGTCCAAACTATAGGAGAAGGTTTTGAGGATTGAGCTCAGGCAGATATTGAAGAAGTTGTCTTCGTTGGACAGCAGATATTGTCTGTTGGAATCGTCGAGACTTCGACGATTTTTCTGGATTATAGATCATCAGTTTAAATCTGGTAAGATGGCATGCAGAAATTATAAAATTAAAAATATGAAACCGTAATTTATAAAATAATGAGCAATTATGATCTAAATGTATCAAAATTTACAAAAAAAAAAAAAAAAAAAAAAAAGCTTAATATTTATTTGTTTACTTTAACATTTCGCATAGCCGAAATTAGAAAATTGCAACCAGAAAACTATTTGATTTGTATTCGTGATATTTATAATGACGAGGAATTTGATTTAATTCATATCAAAGACGGAGTACATCAAGATGAAATACTACATTTAGTAAAGAATTATAAGCCGAATAAAATAAAAACATCTGCCCTGAAGATAACGATAATGCTGACAGATCAACTTCCAGTTCATTGCGCGCCGCGACGTCCCCCCCCCCCACAGAGCAGCGTGAAATTGATAAACAGATTTCGGAATGGTTAGATAAACAAAGGATATGCCTTATTATCCATTTTTTGCAGCATTTAAACTTTTTGTTTGATGGACATCGAAACATACTTTCGTTTTGTAGATCCTTTGGGAGCTCCAGCATCGGAAATTCTATTTGACATAATCGAAAGTTCAAGCTTACTTTTATAAAATTGCTCTTACAGTCTGCAAAAAATAATAAGCCGGATCCAATTCGAAGATTAAGGAACAACGCAATCATTAACATTAACTGAAATAGATAATTAGATAATTTTAGCTTATACCATCCGTTATACATTAAACGCGCACACGAAAACGTATTCTGCGCTTGCGCACACCCATATGTGCAGTCGTAAAGGTCTTACGCACACGCGTAAACGCCTATGTGCATGTGTCAACGCGGCGCATGCGCAGAAAGTTTTAAGCTTTGAGGTCCAGATTATAGATCATTCCGGATTATGGGTGTCCGAATTAACGACTTTTGACTGTAATCATTTTTTTCAATATGACATGAATGTTGAACTAGCTGTCCGATTCTGATGGGAGCTTAGTAAGTGCTTAAATCAATACGAGAAGGTTTACAAAGGTTTAGGAAGAATAAATCTAGGCAATTGCTAATTACGAATTTCACTACAAAGTCTTGTTGAGCTGAGATCTTCCCTAATTCGTCAACCATTGAAGCAGAATCTTATCCAGAACACTCAATTGATGAAAGTCATATCACACCAATCAAGAATAAAAGACTAGTTCATGAAAGTGATGACAGTGATTAAACTCATAATAATTTTTTGAATGATCTTATATTTTCCTAATGTAAAATAAATTAAATATGTACTTCTATTACCTACATATATTTTCTATTTTATGAACAAAGTATAACTTAAACGAAGTATAACTGCTATTTATTTTAAGATGACTTATTTTTTTATGTAAATAAATAACTAAATTATGCACATGTTGTGTGCTTTTTGCTTTACACTGTTTTACATAGCAAAATCCAAGATCTTGATTTACAGGGTTTTGGGCAGAAATTGTGTTCCATGTAAATCGAGGGTTAGGTGCATTATGTTGAAGAAAGGAAATCCCATATTTATTTTAATTTCATAATGTCTTAGCTCTTCCAGTATTAAAATTATAAAGTTCTGGAGCAAATTACTCTTTTTTAATTCAAATACAATTTTACAAATATTAATATATTTATCATCTTGTCAATTATAATTTTTAGCTCTAGAAGATGAGTATGTAAAGCTTAAAATATTATATGAAACAAAAAGTAAAGAACTGGAAGAAAGAACACGAGAAGAAATAATTTACAGAGAAAATGTTAAACATGAAATCAGTTCCCTGAAGTCACAAATCACAGTTCTAGAAGGTAATATACAGAAAGTGTTTCATTAATTTTCTTTGCTTTGAAGATTGCTTTTGTCTTTTTATGTTTTGATTATCTTTGATATTCTTAAAGAGAGATAAAGGGGTATCAATGCAACTGTCGACTCTGATCAAAAATCATGAAATGGTCAATCATCTTTAACAGGTGATGGAGGACGGGGACACTCGGTACCTAACAAAGGAAATAGGTATTTGTCCTACACCCTCCACTACCTTGAACTGGCAGCTGTCTCAAGTCCCAGGAAGCCTGCCTTGGAAATGCATTTGCTTCTCTGTAAAATCGCATGAACAGACAAGGACATGGATGATATTACATGAATGCGTTAGCTGCATAAATATATAAGCATTAGCTTTTAAAATGCATTGGCGTTGCTCTTGGGTTCATGCTGCTATAATTCTGAAATACTTCAAATACTTGTAACAATAATGCTAATTATTCTTAAATACATCAAATACTTGCAATACTACATTAAATGTGATCTGTCAATTAAATACTTTAATACATTAGCTATATGAATAACGTATAAGTGTTAGCTGTTAATATGCATTGGTGATGCCCTTGGGCACATGCTGCCATAATTCTTAAATACATCAAATACTTGCACTACTACATTAAATATAATCCATCAATTAAATACATTAATACATTGGCTACATGATTGAGTTACAGGGATATGTTAGTTATGTACTTGAGAGCTTGAATACAGTAAGATACCTGAATACATTAAACTTGTTTACATTCATTATTTGGGAGCTTGCATTATTTGAGTACTTACATGCATTGATATAATAGATACGCGATTATGTTAAATGAATACTGTTTATAATCTTGAATGCTAGTTATATACTTGAATACTTGACTGCAATAAAAACACTTGATAAATTGATTACATTAACCTATATATATTAATTATATGAGTATTTGAATATGGTTGTTGACATATATATTTATGTAAGTTATTGGCTACTTTATATATCCAAGAATTATTATATACACAATAATTCTTGGATATATAAAGTACCTATAAATTTCAATAGTTTATATTGAATATGTAAATTCATATAGGCTTGAATACATAAATTCATATAAGCTTGAATACTTATATATGTTACTGTTTGAATGCTTAATTAATTGCTCATTTTACTGTTGCTGCAATTCTGTCTCTAGTGGCACTCATTGGCACTCTCACCACCACCAGGCATTCTGATATGGAACCTTTCGGTTAGTGGATATTCTGTGACGTAGTTTTCGGGACTTCCTTGTGCTCTGCAAATGCAAAGGTTCGACCGAGTTCATGATGGCTAGGGTGAAGAAATACTCAGGGAATGGGCCATGTCCACTGATATATCTAGTAAGTTGTGAGGCAGAGTAGAGTCTATTTATGCAGATATTTGGAAGAAAATCATGCATACAATGCCCTTTGCCACTTTTGTCCCATTCTGTTTGCCATTTTTGTAGGGAAATGTTCAGAATACAGCACTTAAGATAGCATCTAGGTGCCGGAAGGTGGCACTGGGTTGCCCCTATACTAGAAGCTGCTTCTTTGGCTAGAAAATCAGCGAGCTTATTCCCCACATGTACTGCATGTACACTGCGGGGGAAAAAAGGTTTTACTGGGCTGATTGACGAAATTTAAATTGCGTTTTTCATGTCTCGAAAGCGCGACTTGGCATACGTATTAGATTTATATATAGCATTGTTCAAATATAGGTATTTTGACACAAAATGGGACCTTTTTCTGCAATAACATGCCAATTCTTTTCCATATTTCGATTCTACGACTCAAATTATGCCTAAATATTAAATTTTGTAAAACTTCGTGCGAAATTTATGGAAAAATTCAAAAATTTAACTTTGCGCATTTTTTTTTCAGTTTGAGCCAAGAATAATTCACTTGGTGAACTTCTTACTATATAGAAACCTATTTTCCTTTCCCTTCCATAGTGCAGGAGTGGAAAAAAAAGTCGCATCGTTCCTACTTTCAAATAATTATAACAAAGTGCGTACACCACATTTTTGTTATTATCGCTTTCAACAAACATTGCAAATTTCAAAACATGCCAATATATAAATTTACATGTATCTTCGGAAATTTTGAATTAAAATCTCTAATTTTTTGCAGGTATGCTTAGAAATGCATCTACTTTAAGATGATTGTAAAAATTTTATAGGTTATAGTTCAAAAGCTTTTTTGAAAAATGTATAAAAATTATTTAAAAAATACAAATTTTAAAAACAAATCATAACAGATAGGTGAATTTTATTTGGAATAAACCTAAATTTCAAACTGTGTAGGAAGGAATCAAATAAGTTTCACAAAAAAAGAGATATTAATAAATACATACCAAATTGAATTAATATTGAGAAGCTAATTTTTTAAAAGCTACTCGTGCAATTTTTACAAAACGTGGCACTTTAGCATAATTTGAGTTGTAGAATCGAAATATAGGAAAAAATTGGCATATCATTTCAGAAAAAGTCCAATTTTGTGTCAAAATACCTATATTTGAACAATGCTGTATGTAAATCTAATACATATCCTAAGTCACACTTTCGAGACAGAAAAAACACAATTTGAATTTCATCTATCTGCCCAGTAGAATAGGAGATATAGAACTGTCTTCCCCCCCCAGTGTACTTTGATCCAATGGAGCATGATGTTCAGATACGTGTTGTTGTGAAGTAATTGTTGTACAGACTTTACTGGTTGTGAAGGATTGTGGATCGCTTCTAGCTGCAGGCTAGCTGTCTGAGATTATTTGCATATTTTGGAGATTCTGTGTAATGGCATAGCAAACTGCTTGCTCCAAGGCTAAGGCCTCTGCCTGGAAGATGCTGTTATGTTCTCCGACTCTTCCAGTGATATGTTTGTACAGATTTAGGCACTTTCTACAGGGCACTTTGTACACCTGTATCAGATTTTGAGCCATCTGTGACGATGGCTGAGGTCAGCTCTGAGCCACTATGCTGTGTATGTATAACTTCGATGCCTTTTCCTCTGTCTGCTGGATGGGGGTGGGAGGCAGTACATCGTAGGCAAACTCTGGCATTGCGAAAGTGGAGCCATGGTAGGTTGTTTCCTGTTGCAGAAGGAGTAACTTCACTAGCACTGACTTTTGCTCAACACTGATGTGGAGGGAAAGCAGGCTGGCTAAAACGTTGAGTGCTTCTGTGGAAGTTGTTTGGAAGGCTCTTGTTATGGTGGGGCAAATGGCTGTTGTACTGAGAGTAACTGTTTAATTCTGTATCCTTCCATTGGTGATGCCCAGATGGCTACGGCATAAATAACTATTTTTTCAATTACTGTTTTATACAGTACATTTTGGAAGCGAGGGTTACTTACCAAGTAGCACCCTGAAATCGATATATTTTGTTTGCAATGGCTTGAGGTGTTTTTTTTTTTTTTTTAAGGTATGCTATGTGAGGTAGCCTTTATCCCACACAAGCCGTAAATCTGACTTCATAGCAAAATTTAATTTTTTGCCATTGGCAGGAAAACATTGTTTCTTGACTGGATTCTTTCTCTTTTTAGGAATGAGCAGCACTGTACATTTGGTCTCGGAGATTGTTAATTTAATACTGTGGCATAAATTTGCAAAGATGTTGCATACTTCCATACCACATTGCTCAAATTCATTTTGAGTATTCTTGCTAATGACAAAGGTGACGTCATCTGCATATTCTTCTAGTTTTGCATACAATGGCCAGGGGTGACTGATCACTTCGTTGAATGTGAATTTCCAGAGTATGAACCTTGAGGGCAGCCTCTGACTTGTGGTTGTCGTATGATGCCATTGTTGGTAGAGATGAGAAGTTCTCTGTCTGCAAGATAGTTGCAAAAAGTCTTGTGTAGATAAGTTGAACACTGGGCATCCCTAAGTGCCTGCTTGATAGCAGGCCACCATATGGAGTCAAAAGCTCCCTTTACATTTAGGGAGATGACAATTGAGTGCTGTTTCTGCTCTCTGTTGTTTTGAATTGCTGCTTGAAATTCTGCTAGTGCATGGGTAGTGGATTTTCTTGAATCCAAATTGTCATGGATTTAAGTAATTTGTGTTTTCTATGTGGTGTTTTTATCTATTGATGAGCAACCTCATGTAAGTCTTCCCTAGCGCAAAAAGTAAAGAGATGGGCCATAATGAGGAAGAGACTGTTTTTTCTTTATTTTTCTTAGTGTAAAAGACAACTTGTCCAGATTTAAAAGCTTTTGGAAAGGGATGAAATGCTAGTATGTCAAAAAGAAATCTGGGTGAGAGAGAGTTGCTATCTTGATAATATTATGGTGAAAAACGTTCCCAAGAAACGAGCTCCAGGGCTCGTCTCTTGGGAAGAAAGTGGAAGGTGTGTTAGGATCTTAAGTTGACTAACATTTATTTTGTTTTAAAACTTTACTATCCTCTCTTATTTTCCACTTCTGGCCAGAATAAATACATTAAATCGTGTATGCAAATTTTACTTGCTAATGCTTAAGTATGGCTTTTCGCCAAGAACAGTTAGATGGGGAGAGAGTGAGCCTTCTTGCCCCTATACTTCACGCGAGCTTTCAGTCAGTTGCTGTATGCCTTTAAGGCCAGACGTTTAGTCCTCTTGATATTTAAGACATATTGTAGTTTTCTGCAGTTTGTGTACTACATACGTAATAATTTGAAAGGCCAGTCTTAGTGTTAGTCATTTGTGTAAAGTATTCAAAGTTAGCTCTTATTTAAATTTAGTTAGTTAGTAGTTCTTATATTTTTACATTCAGACCACAAGTGTTTGATCTTTGTATCCCAAAGTGCGGGAGCGCCTGTAATATCGTGGAAAATAAAGGGTAATTAAACCCTTCTCATCTTGATGTCTCTTCTACACTCCATAGGACATAATTTGTCGTCAAACTCACTGTCTAGTCAGGACACTTCATGTTCTCAAAGCAGATAAGGAGGAATAGCAGTCCTAATTTGTGGTCCTTATTAATGAAGGGCACATCATGTGATGTTGCTGGA